CCACACACACACACACACACACACACACACACACACACACACACACACACACACACTCACTTTTAACATGATAATGCAACAAAGAAGTGATGGACACATTTCCTTACATAATAAGTGTTGGCTCTGCACACTGGCGCTGGACATACAGTTAAGATGGGAACTGGGAGGGATGACGGGTGCAAACATTTGAAACTGTGACAGAAAGTGACAAAGTCAAAGTGTTCACTGTCATCAGCGAGGTGTGAACCCACTGCAGGTGGCACCCAAATGCACAGCAGCCCCAGAGGAAAACAGAGGGGTGTAACCCATAAATTAATCCAGCGGTTTCCGGATCGAGAAACGGCACGATCCCGTCCTAATGGCCCGCAGTGAAACAGCATGTGTTTTTTTTTTTTTTTTTGTCGTGAAATCAAACGGGAAATAACGGGAGGCAGGAACATGTCGGATTACGCAACGCTGTCTGTTGTCACGGCGCCGCGTCGGGGCATGGCCGACGGGGCCACATTAAGCAGCTGTTGGGAATGGTGGAGCATGAAGGCGAGGCGTTTACATAATAGGCTCCTGTGCCAGCTTCACGTGCCGCCGTGTCGGGAACTCTCTCTGCCGTCCCGCGGATTGAGAGAGCCCGGGCAAACAAAGGGCAAAAGGCTTTCAGATCGTTACCATGGGTGGCAGGGAGTGAGAGCTGGCTCTCTCTGCTTTAAGCCCTTTTCAGCTGAAAGCTTAGCACAACAGGAATTCAAACTCAACGGTAGACACATGCATCACTTTTTGGTATACTCTTTTTGGTTTAGTAAGCACTGTGTGGGATAAGGGGAATACTTGGAGGTGTTCTTGGTCGATAACACACTGAGAGTTCGGATGTTTGGGTTTACTCTCAGGGCCATGTGTGGTATTTGTTTCCTGTGTCCGCTGGCTTAGATCCTTTCTGGCTTGCACGAGACATGAATTATCTTATTTTTACATATCTATTATTGTCAGTGTTCTTACAGCTGCCAACCACTACATTACAACCCCCCCACCTACTCTGCTGGAGTTGTGGTGCATGCAAAATCCAACCCCAATGAGGATCAAAAGCCACATGTATACCACAATATGAGTGAGTCACTCAAGCAAGTTATTCAAAATATAACCCAAAATGCTTGACTGAATGCCTTTGCAGAGAAAGGTTTGCGGAGACCGATCTGTCCATTTGGAGAAAAAAAAGAAAAACATCTGCAGCACAAATGAAAGGGTGCAGGATCATGATTTCTTTGTTCTGACCTGGGTTGGGTGAGTCATTGCTCAATCACATCGTGTAATGAAAAACCATCCAAGGCAGGGTTTCAACAACTGTCAACACTTTCTGTAATTAAGGTCTGCATGATCAGTGCAGTGTTTGTGTCTGCAAGCATGCGGCACATGTAAACAAGTACAGCGGACACGTTTTTGAATGCGATGTGTGTGGCAGATTTTCCTTCTCCCGTGTCAGCACACTTTTAATCCCACATCTGAACTTCTTTCATAATGCTGTGTTGAAAAATTATATATAATCCTTTCGACACAACACAATATTGAAGCACGAATTGTGCAGATTATGCCTAGGCTATAAATGCAAATGTCTGGGGGATGAGTGATAAGGTTGTATTCATTACATTACATTATTCATTACATTATTACATCACATGTAAGGTAATAATGTAATGTTTTCATAGGAGAAAAAATAATGTTTAATAAGAGTTTCATGTTGATGAGGTTCCAGGTTTGGATTTTTCCAGTTTAACTTTTGGTCGACCTAAACACCAAGCATTGATGAGGTAATCATTTTGTGACAGTCCCAAAGTGTCCCAAAGATATCCATGATGACCGATGAGAACACTACTTGATAGATGCTATGAACATCTGGCAGAGGGTACTGCACCTCTAGATGAGGTGGACAATCAGTGATTTAGGCTTACTGCACCACATCCTCCATCTTTGCTCTCATGCCTTCAGTTAATGCCAAAATTATGGCTGGATATATCTGTATACCCCAGATGTCTTCAAAGAGGGTTGAACAAATAATCAATTCTGCAATCAAATTATTACCATTAAGGAATTTTCTCTCACATATTTAGTGACTAATGCTATGTATAGAGCGTTCGAATGAGCATTTTCTAATTCTGTCCTCTCAGTGGTAACAATCTTGTGGTAAAAGTGCTAATATTGTGTCCTGCTACACTCAGTTCAGGTGTACAGAACTCAAATGATAAAAGCTTGTCTAATTCCCTCTGTATGCTGGCCAGACATACCAGGCCAGGCAGTGTTTCTCTCTGGAAAGCTCCCATATCCTCCAGCACATTTTACGTGATGCTGGGAGAGCACAGTAAGGTGGTCTGTTGCAAAGCGGCCAGTATGCAGAGGAGGCAGGAACAGCCAGCTGTAGATCTCCCCCTGACAGGACTATTAGAGGAATACCAAGGGGAATAAATGTTACATAGTGCTTTTAAAAGCCTAAAAATAAACAGAAATGACCTAGGTGCCTGAAGTGGGAGGGGATGGTTTTGGAAAAGTGAAACCCAGAACAGCACAGGACTCTGAGTTTTTTTTTCTTCCTGCTCCCCTCTCCATTTCCTGATAATGCAGCTGGTTCTCTGTGCAGGGGTGATAAGATTGCTGTTTTAGAGGTTATGGCTTGGGCAGCCAGCAGTCAGAGATTACATGGTGCAATAGCACATAATAAATCTGATGCGAAAATGCTTTTCCCACACAGGCAGTCATTTTTCAGGCAAAGTGTTGTCCAATGTCATGTTAAATACAAATTAGATTTTTTTCAGATTCTCTGGAGGATACAGAAACTGTGGAGATTCAACAAATTTCCCATAACTCTTTTGAACCATTGATGAAAATACTCACTGAGTGAGTATTAAGTTGACTAGACATATTCTTACAATTGAAAGTAGTAGCACTGAAGAACAATTACTCATAAACTGGGTGCCTGCAACTTATCATATAGTCCAATGAGAAAAATAGGGACACATTTTTGTTGACTCTTTGGGCAGAATGGATCCAAGAAACAAGCTTGCAATGGTGAGTCTGCCTTTCTACCTGGAAAAATTCATTTTTTTCAGAAAGCCATGTTTCTCAAATGTAATTCAGATTGTTTTATCAAAATTTAAAATTAAACAGTTCAGTCCTCCCTGCATTAAAAGGATCTTGAGATTGCTTGCCATATATTACTCCCCGATACAGTCTGGCAGAAAACTAGGATTGTATTATGAAGCATGTGGGGGAGAACCAGACCTCCTCTTCTCGGAACCAACACAAACACTTGTGCGCACTCTCTCTCTCTCTCTCTCTCTCTCTCTCTCTCTCTCTCTCTCTCTCTCTCACACACACACACACACACACACACACACACACACACACACACACACACACACCCTGTTAATTGGGTTACCTTGCATGCAATGGCATATACCAGCAGGCTTACACACCAATGTGGTAACTTGTCATTTTTCATGAAGTGACACACAAGATGCTCCACTCTTAAACTTTCATTCTGAAACATAGAAAAGGTAGACTATATTCTGCTGCCACATGAAATTCAATGATAACAATGACATCATAATGATAATAATGACATTAATAATCAAATGATTATGATGTTACTACCAATATTATCACTCCCTCTAGTATTACTACTAATAATACTATCACCATAAATATTAACTAATCAACGAAAGTAATAACAACAATCATCATTATCATCATAATCTTCAGATTGAAGACTCATTCCAAGAGCTTATTATTGTCTTGCTGTCAGTGTGACCCGCAGTTAATGGAATGAACTTTGTGTATCATTGCTTTGACTCCTAATGTTGAAGGAAATCTATGGCCATTAAACCTTCCATGGAATGCTTTAGCTTGGCACTTGATGATATCGATGTCAGACATCCTAAAGGTGATGTCTGGAAAAGACCACACTCCCCTGTCCTTGCTTGTTGCTTGTTGAAGGCCTTGCTTGTTGCTTGTTGAAGGCCAGTTTTGATTTAATTAAATTCATGACCCACAAAGCAGGTTATAGGAGAAGTGAGTTTCTCTACAACAGCGCACAGGACACTAGGAGTGGCTTATGATGCAACCAGATAATTCAGTTGCAACATTCAAACAATCTCAGATTCAAATCCTACCAAACACTGAGAAAGAATCAAAAATTAACAAGACTTTAATATTTTCTCAGCATTTCATTGCATAACACAAGAACAACAGAGGTGTCTGGCTTTGTTCAGTGTGGGACTTGAATGGGTTTTAAAAGTGCCTCCCCCTCCACTCCCACCCCCCTGTAGACCGCACTGTCTAATTGGATCCTGCCCCAATGATTACCTCATGCCCCATCACCTGCACATCATTAATAAATTAGGTATCACTATTTATTAATGACAGAAGCCCACCCCATTAATACTTCATAACCAACCGTCTGTGTGACCAGCCATTATTACACTGTGACAAGTTAAATCAGTATAATCACGTTCAACAGATACTGCCTCCACATGATGTGATGAGTTAGGCCAGTATTTGTGTGTGTGTGTGTGTGTGTGTGTGTGTGTGTGTGTGTGTGTGTGTGTGTGTGTGTGTGCGCGTCTGTGAGTGTGTGTGTGGGCGGGCTGTGGACCTGTGCACCAGGGGGAGGGCACAGGGTCTGCTTGTTTTCCTTGTGCATCAGTGTTTAATAGATTAATTTAAAGCACCAACTTGATGACAAGCCGACTTGGTCGGTTTTCTGGTGTAAACCAGCAGCTGCTCGGATAGTGACTCAGACCAGCATCTGATTTACACCTGGATCAGCAGCTGTGGCAAATCTTTCCTCGGTTAATGATCTACATCTTGTGCACAACCTAAACCAGCAGACCATTCAGCCCTCCAGGAACATAGGCTCCCCAACCCCGGATTAGACGCACCACTGATTCCAGAGAATAGAAATTTACTCTCGAGTTTCATGCATTATGAGTTAAATACATGCAGCGTCCTTTGTTGTGGGTGGCAGTGTGGCATAGTGGTAAGGAGCAGGGCTTGTAACCACGAAGTCACTGGTTCGATTCCTCACCAGGGGACTGCTGGTGTATACTTGGGCAAGGTACTTAACCCATAATTGCCTCAGTGAATACCCACCTGTATAAACGGACAACATGTAAGTTGCTCTGGATGAGAGCGTCTTCTATATGACAATGATGTAATGTAAATAATAGTGGAAGATACTGATGATGTTTCCAGAGAGTGACTTCAGGAGCGTTCTCTGTAGGATTAAATGTGGACACATATGAGATTAATTGCAACACATTGGAAGTGGAAATGCCACTCCATGTATGTGGTGGCATTAAGAGAAGAGGGTTTATAGTGCTTTTGCTCAAGGGACCCCAGCTGAGGACATATTGAGTGGATCTAATGGTCTTTTTTCACTGGGGAAATGCAGTCTAGTTTCTAATCTGGAAGAGTGGAGGCTACAAAATGCTCTATATTACTTAGACAGAGATTATCTCATGCATATAGTGCCAAACGTCTCACCCACAGCAAGTTGTACTAAAATGCTCTTCCTGATAGGCCAATTTAACACTCCATTTCCAGCAGAAAGGGAAAAGGCTGTGGCACTCTTTGGCTAATGTAATCCACCCTTTTAGTATTTAAATACATCAGTGGAGAAACACTCTTTCTATTTAAATTGATATGGAGTTTTCTGTGGTATCATGAGAAAAAACAAGAGCAATCTGAGCTAGAACGTCAGCTATTCAAAAACCATTAAAAGAAGGGATTGTATGTATACCATACAAACATGTAAACCAATCAAAATAGAGAGCAAATGAAGACAATATTAGAATCGGCTGATCTGCTTCGTTGAAATGGACCATTACTGATGCTTAAACTAGCTAGGAATGGAGGAGGCTCTAGTAACTAAACAATTGAACATTCTGATGAAAAAAATCCAAATAGAACAATGAGATGAGTCAGTTATGAAGGTGATGTCTCAGAGAGTAATGTGTGTGACATGTGTGATGTTAGTCTCTTGTGAAAAGCCAAGGCAGAGGGGGGTTTATGAATGTTTTATGACAGCTGAACACTCCAGCTCTGACTGACACACCAGTTACACACAGGCAAATGCATGGTGCGTGGCTGACATCCCCATAGTGTCAGCTGAAACCAGGAAGGGCCAGAGCTCCACTGTCATACAGCTACTCAGCTGGGCCCAGATCAGGGACTCTGACATGTTCAAGTCAAAACATACAGTTGAATCAGACACATTCTGACCCAAGCAGTCATAACACAGAACCAAATCAGAGACTCTGATACTTTCAGTCATAACACAGAGTCCAATCAGACATATTCTGACCCAAGCAGTCATAACACAGGCCAAAATCAGAGACTCTGATATACTTAGTCACAGCATAGGCACGTACCAGAGACTCTGACACATTCATTCATAAGACAGGCCCAGATCAGAGTGTGACCTGCCCCTCCCTGAGCCAATGGTTGACCCCATGTGATGTAATAATACAGTAGAACATGCACATTCCATGATCTCTCTTAATAGGTGCCAGGCGAAGGAAAAGGCTTTGGTGATACAAATGGAGTCCATACACTGTGTACAAAAATATGCCCCCAAATGTTTAATCTCTAACGTATCGGTGTTTCGACTCGTGCGGGTCCTCATCAGGATGTATAGCAAACAGTGAAGTGTGCGTGTGCTGCTTGCCTGACGTCAAACAAACGACGAACAAAACAAAATGACCCCGTGTGATATCCAGGAGCACTAACCCCTAAGACGAACTCCTGAGAATGGAGTGTGTACGGTAGGTTTCTGCAGATGGCAATGCCTACCCCCTGCATCCAAGTTTCACGAAATCACAGGTCATGTTTAATACCAGTTGACAGTCTATTCATAGTTAAATTTATTGGGTTCACGCATCGATGGTATTCAAAAGATGGGGAGACTTGGCAACAGAGCAGGACGCTCATAAGGCTCCGCGCAGTGAGTTTTGAGCTGAACCCTCATTCAGCTGAACTGCCATCAGAAGTTAATTGTTTGAAGTTTCAATGCGTCAGACGTCAGTGACCCTGAAACGAAACGCAGGTGTCAGTCGGAGCCAGAAATTCTGCCCGCTCGAGAGATTTGGTTGCTTGGATACAAATAAGGGGGACGGAAATGGCAGCAAAAACTTCAAACGTCAAAACAATGTTTCCAGTTGACCAGGCAACGTCCTAATGGTTCTTACATGCAGTACAATGATCCATTCTTGTAATTTGGCAATGATATGCACATCTGCCAATCAGAGGGGTGGCACGAAATGCCCAGTGTGCAGGGGTGCCATGGCAACCAAACAGTTTGGTTTGAATGATTTTGCACAGCTACAGTACCTTGTTTCTGTGCACTCCCATTAACCCCTTATCTCTACACTATCCCAGTCACAGATACTGTATCATTTTTTCTTATCTGCGGCCAAAGACGCACTGTTCTGATCGGTAATCAAGGCTTATGGGGTGACTCGCAGGGGTAGAGAGTGGATCATCTGGTGTAGAAACGGCTGATGGATTAAATATTTCCCTGGGTAAGTGGACCTGCGAGAGTGCCATGACCCTGTGTTCTGCTTTTCTGTCAAAGACAAATAAACTACCGTCAACAGTGCATTCCAGCAGGAAGCCACGTCATGGAGGTCAGCGGGTTTGTCCACATTTGTCACGGCCTTAACGCTGTATACACCCACCCAAACACACACACACACACACACACACACACACACACACACACACACACACACACACACACAACCTAGACAAGTAGATGCATACACATGCATTCAATACCCAAGGCATCAGGTTTTGTGTGAGTTTTTAAACTAAACAAAACAGGTGGTATACATTACTGCTAATTTCTAAAACCCTGGGAGGGTGTACTCTGCTTAGGAGCAGACTATAGGCTTTTTGAAACCATCCAACTGACAATAGCCGGATGAAAATGAGTGTAATATTTAGTATATAGGATGCATGTCAATCTACAGCATTAGTTGCCCTGAGAAGATTATGTAGCCCTCTTGGGAACTTTAAGATCATCTTCCAGATGAGAACAATGCTCTAATTGGCTAGACAGATCATTCAGCCTCTATGATTACAGAACGCCCTCTCAATAGCTGTAGATTTAGTTTCTTGTCGTTTTTGTACACTATCAGATCAAATCTCAAAATGACAACATTATGTTTTTATCCTTATGCTCTTGTATTACATATGATGCAAGATATAGTTCAAAGCAATACTTTTTAAAAAGTTTTTTTCTTTCCAAATCACTTCTCATTCTTAAATTGAGAGGTTGCAACTTCTTTACTACCTGTTTGCCAGCTACTTAAAAAAACAATATCTTACTAATCAATGCTTTCTAACCAGTAGCATTAATAAAGCGCAATCAGATTTTGATCTCTTTGTTGGCAGAACATACAGAACAAGAACAAGTCGTTCTCATGGTCATTCACATTTTGTCATTTGGCAGATGTTCCTATCCACAGCGACTTACAAAAGTGCAGTCAACAGGGGTAGGCAATTAGCTGCGCAGATGCTAAAACATTAATGCCATCCTTGAAGTGTAGTGCCATTGTGGGCAAACAATGCCACAATGGGATTAAGTGCTGTCAAGGGTCACCATTACTCTGGAGGTATGGAGAATGTTAGTGGATCCAAAGGATAGGGCAAATATTTCATAGATGCTAGCGACTTTGCTGGTTTGATTTGGGCATTTGTGTGTGGAGATGAGATTGCCTTTATGTTTCTGGCCTTGTTTTACCTCATGCTCAGGGAGAGGTGCAGACATGAGAGAAAAGTTGCACACACCACCATTCAGCTCATTTTGGAGTTTGCCCTCATTGTTACAGTGGAAGATGAGGTATAAGATTTAAGTCTGGCAGAAATGGCATGGAGACTCCCAGCCCTTTGGCTCCAGTACAGGTTCAGTGAGAGTGGAGTGCTGTCATGCTGCTGCTCCCAATAACAGCGACTGTATCTGTACTGATCCTCTCCGGTCGTCCTCGTGACGGGCGTGGCCAGTGGCAGGGAGTTCTCCTGGTGAACAAGTGTGCCGTCGTCATGGAAGCCACTTAAATGGTAAATAACGGATAAATAATGGATAACCCACTCTGTGCTCTCTGTGAGCATGTAAACATTAGGAAGCAAAAAAGGAAAAAGAAAGAGAGACATAAACAGTCAGATTGACAAACCTCCCACTGGCAGTAGCTTAATTGCAGTGAGAAAAATCCATAAGACAATATTTACTAAAAATATTGGTTTTACTCCCTTGAGTGAAAATTCAACACTTCCCTTTGTCCAATTACTATGATAATGTATATACATTTACTCTAAGTTCTTCAATGTTCAGTATTCCCACAGCAAAACTCCACCCTGGATTAATGCATTAAGTTTACAGTCTGAGGGGAAAGGAAGTGAGGGGAATTTATGCAGTTTTTGTTTTTTTCACCCAGAGGAAATTAATTCATGCTTTAGCATGACCTTCATTTCTGGGGTGACTTATGGAAATGTGAAGAAACTCACTGCATGCACCATGTCACAGACAGCATTCATTCTGTGATTTTCTTTCAACTCAAATACTTCTATTCCACTTCTTTAAAAAATTAAACCTTTCAGAATAATAATAAAAAGATTAAGAAGTGCAATCAATGCATCATGTATTATTCTAGTTGTGTATTATCTTGAGGCAAAAACCAAGCACTTTAGAAGCAGCCCTTTAAGGGGTGAGCCCAACACTATACTGCAGAGAATGCTTCTGAACAAGACTTTCCAATTAAATGTACAGTGCTTAAAACAGGGCTTGGTAATGAGGACATACTACTGCACACCAAAAACAGCTCCAACAGACACTGTTCAAACACATTATCCATGGATGTGTGAATGATGACAATTACCATGAACAGAATGAACAGAAAAACAAACACCAGGAGAGAGTGGAATTGCAAGTTTGAGAGCAACCACGCTGTCCATGTCCTTACTGCATTTGAAAAAAAGAGCCCCAGTGCATTATGGGTTATGAATGACAATAACCGCCAACAGCGTGCCATTCCATTGAAAG